CCAAGGCTATTCTCTCCTGACCCCTTCTGAGAAGGGGGGCTGCTGAGCAGAGAGTTAGCTATGAGTGTTGGTTTGTCACATCGCACCCTTACAAACCCCAAAAGGCGCCACATGAAGGGGCCAAAGAAGCAATCACGGCACGTAATTCAATGGCACACACAGACATAGGATGTGATTCTGCAAAGCATGTTTAATGATTTGGAAGGACAGTTCACTGTATCAAGTGAAAAGGCTAATTACAGAGCAACCCATAGTGTGGTTTTGTCCATGTTGAAAGATACAAAGAACTGGAAGAATAACAAGCCAGGCATAAGCAGTGGTTACTTCTGTGTGATGGGACTGTAGACATTTTTAAATCTTTTCTGAAGTAACAATGTGTACCCATTGCTTTTGCAATAAGAAAGCCCACAGAAACGGTGATATTAAAAGATAACTTCGTAGTCTTGGCAGATGCTGCTAATTCTACAGCTCTTATACCTATTTTCCCTCATTGCTTCAGCTTGTCCACTCCCAGTGGTTGAATCTTTACCTCCTCTAGGCGCTCTGCCAGTGCGGCCACGTCATGCAGTTCCAGCCAATGAGATGTAAGTCAGCTCTGCGGAGGATTCTGGGAGAGCTGTCTCCTGATAAATGGAGGCGTATTTCTGGTCCTTACGCTTCCCCTTTCTTCCTCCCGGAATGTGGCAGTGATGCCTCGTGAGCATCAGGTGATGGACCAGAAAGGTATGGCCTGGGTTTTTGAAACACTGCATCAACCCTGGACTCCCCACCTGCAGGCTTCTTGTGATGGGTGATAATTCTGCTGTAACAGTTCTGGTTAGACAAGTTATGAATGCTTTTGGCTGCTCCTAACAGAATTTAGGTCTCTTCCCTAAGTCCTAGGTCACTCCTACCACTCCACAGAGAGAAACAGGGACGTCTTCACAAAGACACCTTCTTCCCCAGCTGATGATGTCATCTATTTGGCGGTAGTGTCTGAATTTGTTTGGTGGCTCTGGGAGGAGGAGGGACACTGGATGTCTTTTACGGGATGGAGAAGGTGTTAAGGCGCTACATGAGACAGCGAGTCAGCTGCCCCTCAAAACGCCTACTATGTGCTGGGCATTGTGCCAGGTCCTGGGGAGGCCAAGAACAAATTCGACCCTGAGCCTAGGCTCCTGAAGCTTACTGCTTGGTAGAGAGAGAGGATATTGCAAAGTCATAGTTGATTCTTTGCTAAATTATGAGTATAAAGGGTTTTGAAGTAGGAGGTACCATGTGAGTAACGGGGTAACCTGATCTGGTCAGCTCAAGGAAGGCAGCCCAGAAGCGATTTTCTGTGTCCCTAAGCTTGGCAAGATGCACCCAAAATTCCTGGGCTTGTCCACGTCAGCCTCTGGACACAATGCCCACGGAAGGCATTCTTCCCCTTGGCAAGTGCCCTGGCCTGTGGGCCTCATCACCCTTATCGGTAAGATGAGGGCACCGGACTTGATGAACCTTGAGTTTCCCAGCACTTAAAGGCCATTTGGATTCAGCTGGGAGGAAGCCACTCATGTGAGCAGCGCAGGGGGGCTGGGGTGCAGGAGCTGGGGGCCAGAGGGCCCTTTACTCCTCAGCCTTGGCAAAGGTGGCTCCCACATTTGCTCATCCAACACGTACTGAATACCTAGTGTGTGCCAGGACCTGTTCTGGGTGCTGGGGATCTATCACGGAGCAAAGCAGACAGTGATCACTGCCCTCAGGGGGTTATAGTGGGAGATCAGATCACAGGTAAATTATGTCAGAATCTGAAGGTGATATGGCTTTGGAGACAAGGCTGAACAGGGTAGGAAGACAGGAGGGAAGGAGTGTGCTGTGGCCAGTGGCACATATTCTGTGGGAAATTCAGGGGAGGGAGGGAGTCAAGCTGTCACTTGGGGAAAGAGAATACTCTGTAGGGAAGGGAGCCTAAGGAAGCCCTACGGGCAGGCAGCAAACTGCAGGATGGTAGGGGAGGGGCGGGCTGGGGAGAGGAGGCAGATTCCAGGTGGCCCTGGGCACTGAAGGTCAGAACCCAGTGATTGATTTGTTTCAAAAGGATTGCAGGTCAACCCTCGCCGACTCCATTTACTCGAGTCAGGAATCAAGGGGCTCAATGGTGGGGAGACCTGGTGACCCATGAGGTAAGCTGTATGCGTCGATGTGGTCTCAGACCTGTGCCTGTCAAGAAAGTCTGAGCAATGAAGCATGTATTTTTTTAATGCTTACTTATTTTTGAGAGAGAAACAGAGCACAAGTAGGGGGGTGGGGGGAGAGAGAGAGAGAGAGAGAGAGAGAGAGAGAGAGAGGAGAGAGAATTCGAAGCAGACTCCAGGCTCTGAGCTGTGAGCACAGAGCCCAGCAAGGGGTTTGAACCCATGACTGTGAGATCCCGACCTGAGCTGAAGTCAGAGCCTTAACTGACTGAGCCACCCAGGTGCCCCAGCATGTATTTACTTTTAATTCATTCTGATGTACTGATAAATGTGTAGGCCTTTTGTAATAACTAAGAAAATAAAAAATAAAAATCATTAAAAAAATAAGTGGTTATCTCTGGGGATAAGATGAGAAGGGACTTTCATATTCTATTCCATACATCTGTAATACTTCTGATTTTGAATGGTTTGTTCCTGGAACAGTGTTTCCTTTTTTCTGTTATTTGTTTTGTGCCTCTAAACATTGAAGGGTATTCCCCCAGGCGATGTACAAGAAGAAACAGTACAGGCAGAGACAGAAGAGAATTAAGTGAGTTTCACAAAAAGTCAATTACACACACACACTTCTTCCACTTGAGTCAGGCCTGAAGGAACAAGCTTGGAGGTTTGCCCCAGGAGGGCACGGTTTTTTTTCCCCCAACTTCCAGTGCCTTCTCTCCCCAAGCTCCAGTGTTTCAGGCTGAAGACAGCTAGAACGTTTGGAAGGCAGTCAGTCCCACGTTGCAGCCTGCGGTGGGGTAGAGGGGAGGAGGGGGCCCATTAGCAGGGTCAGAAGAAGACATCTTCGGAGCCTGACTCTTCACTCACCAGCTGGGAGAACTGGCAAACTTCTTGACCTTTCCAAGCCTGCTCCTCACCTGAGAAACAGGAATGACACTACTGCCTCCCTTCCTGGAGCTGCCTGTACCCAACTGAGAGGACACCCGCCAGCCCCGCCCCCCCCTCCCCCCCAGGCAGTAAATACCAGCAGGGGAGCGGGTCAGGGTCTTTGTTCTGGAGCGGAAAGGCCTGTGGCTCTGGAAATACAGGGCTGGGCTGTGCCTAATGCAGGTTACTTGACCTTGAACCTCCACCTTCCCAACTATAAAAAACAGAATCACGATGCTGCAAAGTGTAACCCTTCCACTTGGGTTCTGTCTGGGAGTCTTCCTGAAATCCCAGCAAAGGCGTCCACACAGCCTTCCTGCAGACAGGCTCACTGCAGTATGTGGGGACCTTTGCCTTGTTACACAATGAACGGAAACCTTCAAATCACTGTTATCTTTTTGTTTTTTAAGCCACTTCCATGGGGCCAGTACCTACCAAAAGACAGATGCACGGGGTGCAAGTGTCCTTGGCCGTGGTTTGCACAAGGCCTACATAAAACACCATCCGTGGGGCCTAAGGTAAACATCTAGTGATGACTATAAGCAAGACGAGACAAGCGAATCTACTCTCATCAAAAACAAAACAAGGTAAAAGAGTAACAAATTTATTTGAAACGACTGCCCGGAGGGTTTTGTCTTCATGGCATGACATTTTGGAGTCAGGGGTTCCCCAAGTTAGCTGCCAATCATAAATGGCTCTTCACTGCTCAGACACAGGGTGCTGAGCTGCATGGCTAGTCTTTCCTGGTCCCAGCTGTTCTTAACGGAGCTAGCAAGTCAAAAGCAGGTCTGACCATGGGTCTAGGGACACCCTGGGTTCCAACCTCTGCTCTAGCAGGCATATGCCTGCTGGGAGATGGGGAGGGGGGCAGGCTGCTTCACCTCCCGTTGCCTCCAGTGCTCCTGAAAACGGGGTGCTTGTGAGCTCGGATTAAAGAAATATAAAGCCTTTAAAATTTGCCCTACACTGTGTGAAGAATTTAATAATCGTGGGAAAAAACCCAAAACACAAGCCTTTAAATCAGTGGCAAATACCTTACCTTCCAATGTCCCTGCTGGGAGAAAGCAAAGGACGTTCTGGGCATGTTAATTACGATGAAGAAGGGAAGGGTCAGATTTCCACAGTCCAGAACACCTGACGATTCACTTTTAAAAATCAGAAAAGTGGGTTTAAAACACATTATTATTTGACATATAGTCAATGCCCTATTTTTCACACTGCTGTGGATGGCGGGCACGGGCACTCCATTACTGTGCCCTTTTATCATTTGGTACTGAAAGTGGGGTGTCCCCCCCCCCCCCCGTCTTTCACTGTGTTTTAGTGGTTCTCAAACTTGAGGCACGTCAGAATCCCATAAAGGCTGGTTCACACGCTGATGGCTGGGCCTCAGCCCAGAGTTTCCGATTCAGCAGGGCTGGGGTGGGGGTGGGGGGGTACATGGAGGATTTTCAGGTCAAGTTCCCAGGTGAAGCTGATGCTGGTGACATTTTGAGAACCACTGTTTTACTTGATACTAAGTATTTACCCGGAAAATGTCCTTTCTGAACCTGGCTTTCCCCAGAGGCACGGACCGGGGTCAGCAGAGTGGATGTCAAAGTGTGTATCAGACCAGTTCCCTGCAGCTCCCAAGCTTCTGGTGGTCTGCAGAGGGGCCCCTTGAGAGAGTCCCCACGGGAATGTGGTAGCAGCAAATGCGGGACCCCCAAGGTAGTTACAAAGGTTCTGAACTCAGAGCTTCGGGTGATGTAGATCACTCAACCAAGGTTTCAGAAGAGGGTGGGGGAATGGACATTCTAGTTTCTTTTTTAATTTCTTAAAAATTTTATTTTTGAGAGCGAGCGAGCGAGCAGGGGAGGGGCAGAGAGAGAGGGAGACACAGAATCCCAACAGGCTCCAGGCTCCGAGCTGTCGGCACAGACCCTGACGCGGGGCTCGAACTCACAGACCGCGAGATCATGACCTGAGCCGAAGTCGGACCCTTAACAGATTGAGCCACCCAGGTGTCCTCTTGTTTCTTTCCGGTGGCACAGTCAGGTGGCATCCAGTGTGCTTCAGTGGAGGGTCTGGGATGTTCGGCACGACGGGGAGGCTGTTCTCAGTGAGGCCGCGCGCATTTTGGAAAAGGAGCCATACTGCGGACAGAGGAGTGTAGACCAGGCATAGGGCTTTGCCTGGCGCTAAGCACTGGGCAGACCAGCCGAGGGTCGTACCCCCTAGGCCGGCTCTCAGAAGCATGCAGTTCTCAGAGCACATCCATTTGCCTTTGCAGCCTCTGACCTCTGAGGGTAACTGTGCAAACCTCAAATGAATTCACCAGCTTAACAACAAAATTAAGTCGAACTTCCTCTGCTACTTGAACAGTTTTCTCTCTCTGGACTTGACCCCGTTTTTTATTTTATTAGGTTTTTAATCAGGTTCCACTGTGACGTGCTTTTAACAAGGTTAGGATCTAACCTTTTAGAAAGGCATAAACAGGGAGAATACCGCCTGGTCTGTCTGACTAAGGACACCAGGGTGGAAGATCTGAGAATGGAGACGGCTTTGCTCGGTCCCTGGGAGCGAGCCCTAGGGACTTCCCTGTTCAGCCCTGTCCCCTTCGTTCTGGCTCCCGAGTAGCACGAAGCAGTGGCTCACGGTGTGGACCGTGGGGCCAGACTGCAAGGGTTTGAAGAGCAGTGCTACCAATTGCCAGCAGCCTGGACGGTGTGGTCTCGGGACCCAGCTAATACAACACTTATGTCGCCTGGCCGTTACGAGGAAACCGAGGCAACGAGTAAACGGCTAACTGTACACAAAGTGCTCAGAACAGTGCCTGACATGCTGACTCGACTCTGTAAGTGCCTGCTACCATTATTTCAACGTCACTGAAGGGCAAAGACAGACCCAGGGCTCCAGTGGGCAAGAGAGAGAGAGAGAGAGAGAACGTAACCTCGAAGGACCCTCGCATTTACTGAACAAATAGATCGCTGAGCTACTACTCTATGCCGGACCTGGAGCTGCGCTGGAGGTGCAGGGGTGAATGAAGCTGAATGTCCCTGCCCTCAAGGAGCAGGGGAAGACGCACCCTCAGCGGAGAGTCCCAGGAGTGGATGCACGACGGCCGCGTGAGAGGAGCGTTCTGAAGAGGCAGAATTCAGCCTGCTGGGTGCACCCGGCCTCCAGGCTGCGGCGCTGGCCCACGGGAAGCCAGGCTCTGTCCGAAACCCGCAGGAGAGTCAGACATCAGTTACGGGGAGGCTGGTGAGGGGCTGGGAGCATCGCGGCCAGAGCTGAGCTGCACAAGGGCCCTGGGCCTGAGGGAGCTCGGTGAGTGTGAGGGGTCTTGAGTCAGGTGTGCCAGAGGGAGGGAGGGTGTGGGGGGAGAGGGGTCTGGCGACCACATGCCGCTCATGGGGTCTAACTACCTACCGTCAGAGTGAGGCCAACTCCTGAAGGAGTTCCAGGCAGGGTGGAGGGATTGACATGACGCAGGCATGCATCCTGAAGAGGGCTTTCTGGCTGCGACTGCAGAAGAGATGGGGTTGGCTGCAGGCTGGAAAGGGTGTGGGGAGACAAAGGGGTGGTTGGGGCTCTGGAGGGCCCCCTGCAGGGCCCGTTAGCACACCGTCCTTGCCCCCTGCTCGGCAGCCCCCGCCCCAAGATCGTGATGCAAAGGGTGGGCGGTGGGGCCCAGGGCTCGGCCTTTGCCGCCTGCTGACGTTGCCACTGTGGCCCACGCCGTGAGTGGCGCTGGCCTGGGTTCTCCGGGTGGTAGGGCACTGGGAAGTGGGTGGCTTGTCAGAGACTTGCAGCTGATACGTTTTGAGGAGAAGGCAGGAAGACCTTTCTGAACAACTGGGACTCTTTTAACTCTACGACACTGTCCCAAGCATAGCTGAGTACAGGCTTCAGAGATACCACAGCAGTTTGGGGATGGGTGAGGGGGAGAACTTCGCCGAGGCAGCGGACTCAGCTTCTGGAACTCCGAGGTGCCAGAGACCCAGGGCCGTTCTGCCTGACCCGGGCTCTACGTAACCTTGTCCTGTGTCGTCCTTCCACCGGGCTGGTTTCCGTCCGGCCCTCTGCTTCCCAGGGGACAGCGGCACAGCACTGAGGTCACGTAGAGCCTGGGTTGAGCGGAGTGGCTGTGGACACTCTCCCTGTCCCACAGAAAGCCAGAGAGATAGACTTCTTCCTTTACTTAGCACTTCGGAAAGGACACCGGCCAACCCAGCCACTCCATCTCTAAACTTGCCCCCCTGGTGCTGAGATACGGTGGCGTCACATGTAAGGTTTACGTTAGGCACAAAAACACACGGACTCTGGAGACCTCCATTGGTTTCCAGCTCTGCCAGGTCCCTACCTGCGAGGTCCTGTGGAAAGAGAGCCCACCCGTCAGTGCAGCTGACAGGTCACATTACCAGCATGGGAGTGTCAGACAAGTCTACGCTCCAGGGAGGGTCCTCTTGTGCTTGGCTGTCATCCAGCCAAGCTGGGGACACACGCCCGATGGAGAGCCGTGGCACTCTTGCACTCAGACCAAGGCGTTTACACTCCGGGGACCTGGGGCTATCTACAGCATAGATGTGCTCCCCACCCGTGCGGCTGCAAGAGGCCTCTGTCTCCCGAGGAGTCTCCCCTGGGGCCACCCTCTGTAACTAGGGGTCCCCTCCCCTCCACCTGGCCCTTTTCAAAGCCACCACACCCACGTACCGAAACCGAGACCCGCGTTCACCCTGTGTGTTCCCGGCACCCAGCAGGAAACGCTCAGTTGAGGGGCGCTCAAGCCCCCCGAGGGCCAGAACACCATCTGTCTCCCAGGGGGCAGCCCGAGCTCGGTCTCCTCTGTGGACGCTGATGCCGTGAGGGCGGCCGCTCCCTTACCAGTGGAGGGGGACACTCGTGCTGCGGGGGCAAACGGCCCCGGGCACCTGATTGCGGCGGAGTCCACGCCGCGCACAGGACGAGCCACAGCCGCGTGCAAGCTGGGCTTCCGGAGGCTCCGGACGAGCCCCGGGATGAGCCGCCGCAGGGTCCTGGCGGCCGGTGCCCGTGGTGGGGCGTGACCCTGGTGTTGTGAAGTAGCCGTTCTCTGAGTGGCAACGGCCTGATTCACAACACCAGCTGCCCCGCCGCACCGTGCCGGGAGGTCGCTGGGGCTGCTGGCGGTGGTGCGGTCGCGTCCTCGGTGCTGCTCGGCCGGGGGGGGGGGGGACAGAGAGCAGCCGCGGGTTAGACGCGAACGCGAGCAGTGTCGACATCTCATCTCCCTCCACCCTCGTCCCCTGGGCGTTTCCTGTTTGCCACGTCCTCGGCCAGCCCTCCCATCCCCTGGAGTCACGGGTGGCGTCGGGGGGCTCCAAGGAGCCCGGGGCCCCTGGACGCGGACGTACCTGCGCATCGGTGCTTCTTTGGGGGGGGGGGGCCCCCCCCCCCTCAGCAAGTCCTCGTTGGGAAATGGAGCCCCCCACAGCTTGCGCATCCCCGCCCTGGGAGGCGGCTCGGTAACCAGATTATTCCTAAGCCAAAGTGGTGAGTCAAGTTTTTTCCTCACTGAAACTTACGTGGCAGGAAGGCAGGGACCCCCAGTCGCTCTGCTGCCACACGCGGAAACCGCACTCGCCTCGTGTCCTAAGTAGCGACTCTGCCAAGACCCTCTACCTCCGCCCCTTCCATCTGTCCGTCCTCAGACCCCCGAAGGCTGCGCGGGGCCACTCCCTCGTTTACTGAGGGTGACCAGGCTCAGAATGGAATCCTCCAGCGACGACGGAGAGTCTTTCCGAGTCATCCTCCAAAGGGGGGAAACACATTCCAAGCACAAAGTAGGGGTGATCCGCTGAAGAGCTGAGGCTGTCACGCAAACCAACAAAAGCCGTGAGACTGACCGAAAGGAAATCGGGTGGTCGGTGTGAACCCCGATGAGCCGTCACCGTGCTCTGCCTTTCCACCAGCAGGTGACCCGCTGGGCTGCTCGGCTCTCGATTCAGCGGGCAGACACGGAGGAGCGTCTCAGCAGTGAAATGACTTTGGAATTCTCGTTTTGGTGTTCGCCTAGGTTTTTATCAGCATTAGGAAATTATGCAACATAAACTGACATGAAAATAGCATTTGAAGCTGAATCCCTATTTCCAGGTGTCGATAAACACTTTTAAATGAATAGCTTCTTTGGCCAAAAATGGCTCCTGCCTGCTGCATGGTTCTTAGTTACCCGATCAAGAAAAATGTTTTCCACTTTCTGCCATCTATCTTGGAACCTGCTTTATTTTAAGGACGCAAAGTTGGCAAGTTCCTAGCACTGGATGTGGCACAGAAGTTCTACCAAAGTTCTTGCCAGAGTTGGGGGAGACAGAAAGTTTGATAATTCATCAGCCACAGTGGAGCCATGTAAACCACTGTGGCCTTGGAGTTCAGAAGCATCTGAATTTTTATGTCTACTATCGAAGAATCCTGGCTGGGACAGTAGGGCATGATGTCTACACTCGGGCCTCCATGGGCCACAGCACTGCTAAGCTGAGAGTGTCTACTGTGCATGGGCTGCCGCACCAGGCCCCAGGGTGTGTGTTCAGGCTGTCCCTTCCTATTTGTGTTCCCAGGGCCGGTTGCAGAACCTTCGGGGCCTCAGTTTTAGTATCTGCAGAACAGAGTAGTAAGATTGGAAAACCTTGCATACGGCAAACACTTGATATACACGTGTATTCGATAAGTGTTGGCACCAAGTTATGTGGCTGGCTTGCTGAGCTTTGGGTACAGAGACATCCCAAAATTTTTCTGTCCAGTGGATTGTCTTAAAGGCTAACAATCACCCACTCTGAGAATGAGCAAGTTCTAGAAAGTGAGATTAGTTCCTTGTAAAAATAAAGCAGGGGGGACTGTTAATTGCCAGTGCTGAGTGGCCAGAACCCTCAGCAAAGTTAGTGCCCTTTTTTGGCCAAGACTGTGTCCGTGGGAAGGTGGTACTGGTACCAAGTTCCTAAAACTGAAACCTGCACAGATTCCTATGAGGGCAAAACATCACGAACCTGGGGACTGGTATTCCTACATCGGAGGGGCAAAAGGAGACTGGGGAATAGGGGAGAAGCTGAGGCCATGGACACAGCTATCCATAGCTACCTCTTCTTGGTTCTGTCTACAACTCACCAGTGCTCAGGGTGTCAAAGAGAGATAAAAAATGATTGTCTAAAAAAGTAACTTCAGGGGCGCCTGGGTGGCTCAGTCGGTTAAGCATCCGACTTCAGCTCAGGTCATGATCTCACAGTCCGTGGGTTCTAGCCCCGCATCGGGTTCTGTGCTGACAGCTCAGAGCCTGGAGCCTGTTTCAGATTCTGTGCCTCCCTCTCTCTCTGACCCTCCCCCGTTCATGCTCTATCTCTGTCTCAAAAATAAACAAACATTAAAAAAAAATTAAAAATAAAAAAAAGTAACTTCAAATGCTTGCAAGGAGTCGGCACTGTGCAAGGCAGTCCTGGCCCTCTTTTTCTCCCCTTATCCTTCACTGCCCTCCTCCTCTCCCTCTCGGTTTTTCTAACTTCTCAAATATGCCATATTCTTCCCTACCACAGGGCCTTTGCACAAGCTGCTTCCTTCACCTAGAATCCTCCCTCTCCATTTTGTGTAGTTTAATACCAAGTCCTCCTTCAGACTTCAACTCCAAAGTCACCTCCTGGACTGACTCCCATCCCCCAGACCAGACTGGACTCCTCATGACATGCTTCCCAGGCATCTGGGACTCTTCCTTCAAGGCACCTGTTATACAGTGTGCATGACGTCTCTTCCACTCAACTCAAAGCTTGCCATTGGGTCCCCAGCATTGGCCACATGGGGGATGCTGGATTAATACTGGCTGGGTGAATGTATGATTTAAAGGAAGATTCTTGTAGTCCAGTGACTCTATTGCAAGCATGTAGATGAATCTGTGACATGAATCAAAACGGCACCGAGAACCTGAGGGGCACACACGGTGCTATTTGTAACAAATGATTTTATATGAATAGATGACTGCGGGACCTAACTCAGCTCCCTGCCTTTAGGCTAACCCCACCCTCATCTACAGGGCATCAGAAGGATTCTCCCAGAGGGTCTGTCTAATCTGGCTGAACCTCTCCAAGGCTCCTTTCGTGCCCCCGATAGAGTCTCACATCCTAATGCACTTCCCTGCTTGACCCCCGCCCCTCACTTACGGAGGAGGAGTGCCCACAATACACCACGTGGGCATGCTTCCGTGGACTGCATGCCCCTAACCCTTTCTACCCAGTGCACCCCTCTTCCTGCAGTCGGGCTCCAAGGTCAGCCCTCAAGAAGGTCCTCTGGCCCCTTGCAAGCTCTTGACCTGGTGGCATCTAGGATTTTTGTACCTTTTGCGTCCAGTGTCGTTCCAGGCTTCAGTCCTGTTTTAGGAGACAGTGGTCCCAAGGGCAGAGGCCATTGTGGAGTCACCGGTAGCTGGGATCTGCACGGCACCTGAAACACAAGGGCTTTCAGCTTAGATGTGCTCTCAATCGGCAACAAAGTCCTGCAAAGCTGGGGGGCTGCGGACACCAGTGGGTTAACGATTTGTCCTCGCTGCTCCCCATGAATCATCAGTGTCCAGAAAGCCCAATATTTTGCCATCGAATGGCATTTCTTCATCTCCACGGCCGCCCTGTACCCCCAGCCCTCTCACCAGGACACAACACACACACATCCAACTGTCCCTTTGTGAGTCACTCTTCACTCTGCAGCCTGAGCGATCCTTTTAAAATATGAATCAGAGCGTGTCCCTGCGTTGCTTCAAACACTCGCTCCCTTCCCATCATACCCAGAATAAAATCCAAATTCCCCGCGAAATCCCACAGGTGCTGGTGACTCAGCTCCCTCCCGGTGCCTGTCCATCGTCACCTCCCCTCCTCATGGACTTAGCTGCACTCCCTCGCTCCGATCTCGGAACACAAAGACAGACCATATGGTGCCTTCTGAAATTAAAGAAGCAGGCCTTTCCTGTAGACGGAGCATTTTGTGGGCTCAAAAAGGCACCTCTTTCCCTGGGCAGAAACGGAACTGTAACAGGGCGTGTGACCCGGTGAGTGGTTTTGGTCTTCACCGCAACCCCACCTGCCAGAGGGCTGGGGGCTCTAGCGTCACCCGGCCACACTGGAATGGCAAAGCTGGAACCCGCCCTGTCCTCTCCCACCTCGGGGCCTTCCTCCCAACTTTTGCCTCCCTAAGGACCTCAACTGCCCCAGGAGCATTTTTCAGGGAATGTAAGATTTCTGGTGTTCCAAAATCCTGCATCGATTTAAACCAAAACCTTTTATCTCGTTATTTTCTACATTGGCCTGCTTATGATCACTACAGACTTGATAGGGTCAAGCCAGCTAATTGTTTAGTTTTGTTTTGTTTTGTTTTGTTTTAAGTCACATAATAGCCACTCGGTGCTGGCAATCCCAAGTACATGGCATTTATCTAAGCTGTATAACATCAGAGGTCTCAAATCAGCAAACTGTCTCGCCGCCTGGTACTTCTGGGAAAAGATGACGCGACAGGAACACAGGGGGTTTCCTCATCAACCACCTCCCAGGTTGAACAAGAGTCAACACAAACTCGTTCAGCCTCGGACACCAGCCCTCAGTCTGGCTGGCTCCGTGGGGGGTGGGAGGGGGGCTCAGGGCTCCAACCCCACTCCAGATCCTACTCCAGTCTGTCTGGGAGTGAAGCTCAGGAATCTCCCCCCCCCCCCCCATCCCAGGGACTCTGATAAGCCAGATTTGGGGACCACAGCTTTAAATCCAGGGCTCTGTTAAACACTGACATTCCTAATGAGCCTCAGAGCAGGAGTCCCATGCGGCTTCAGCATCTTCAGAGGCAAATTCCATCTTGCCCACGTGGCGGGTGCTGCTGATGTCCAGCACCACTGCTCCCACGTACAGAATGTCCTAGGCCTGGGGGCTTCCTCGGGTCAGGAGCGGGAACAGGCGTGTGTCAGCTCGGTGTCAGGGAGCTGACATCCTCAGGAGCCCCCACTAGCAGCACAACGGAGTTGGTGGACAATACCTTGCTCTCTTGCCCCACAGAGCAGGACCCTGGTGGACAGCACAAGCCTTATGGGGCCCCTCCCCCTCCCCCTCCCCTCCCCCCTCCCCTCCCCAAATCCAGCTGTGCTTTGGTGACTGTGTTAAATGGATGTAAGGGTACCCACGTGCTGAACAGGCGTATCTTACCACGTTCCCATGGTCACTTTCAGCAGGGCGGGCCGAAGGCGAGGGGAACGAGTCACCTGCTCTCAGATGCTGACCCCACTCTTGCAGGAGCAGGACTGTGAGCGCCTCCCGAAATTTTGCATCCTGGGCCTTCTCATTCGCTCACCGTTCTGATGTGCAGGGAGTGAGAATACACAAATCAGGCAAAACAACCCACTCCAAGTAGGTGTTTATTCTAGAGTGTGTCGTACTTATGTTTCTTCATTGCTTTTTCATAGACGCTAACCCTCTAAAAGGAAGACCCTTTGGCCCCAAAGCTCCAAGGTATTAGGATCATTCTGCACAGTAAGTAGTCACAGATACACAGATACTGTTATAAGCATTTAAGACAGCATGTCTACTCTAGGACAATGGCAAAAATAAACCTGAATGCAACCTGGGAATTCTTCTCGCTTTAGCCCATCTTGGCTGATGCCGCCCAGGTGGACTTCAAAATAAAAACTCCTGGCTCAAGGAGGGCTGCCTGGCCTGCGGAGCACAGCCCCGGAGTTTATTAGCACAGTTAATATTGCATGCAAATAGATTTCCCCGCTTCTGTCATGCCAGTCCATTAATTCAGCCCCTTGTCTGCTACATCTTTATCCTTGGCAGGTTAATCCTGCCAAATGCCTTTGCTGGAGCACATGTCACGCTGTGCCTATGTCCAACAATGCAATTTTGCTAATCCTGTTGTCTCAGCTTTGTGGCCCTGTCTGGTCCATCCAACGGTGGAAAAAGTGCACGTGAGGTTTTTTTGCCAAGATCCTTCTCCTAGTCTGGCACCCACCCCTTCCTCTTCCTCTTCTTTATTAATTTTTTAAATTTAAATATGGTTTCAATTAAATGGTCTGAAAGTCAACCACAGTGTTTGGACAGCTGCCATTGCCAATGTCATTCAGCAAGAATGCCGAGGCTCTCAGCGGGCCTCCAGACTCCTTCTGGTAGCTTCGCCCGGCTGCCAGCCGAACGTGGCAATGGGAAGGGTCAAACAGGAAAATCTGTGGAGCGTCTCTTCTTTCTCCTAGGTTCTCCAAGGCCTGAAGATGACTCAATGGAGCAAATGCATCTCACCCACCATCTTTGATGCCAACCTCGTTACGGCGCAGTGGGGTCGCTAACTTGGATTATGAGGAGAGGTGCACCCCTTCCTGCAACCACCTTTGTCTGCTACGCACCTGACGTGGGGATAGCACCTCCAGGCCCCACAGTGGACTGCTCCTCCTGCCCATGGCCTAGTGGGGTTCAGAACATGGGCTTTAGAGTCACATTTGCCCAGGTTCAAATACCAACTAGTCTACTGTCTACCTCTGCAGCAGCTAAGGCACATTGTATCACCTCTCTGGACTCACGTGTCCTCATCTGTAGAATGGGCATGACCACAGCACCCAAGAGATACAACTGCTGTGAAGATTCAGTCACTTGATATACGTTAATCCCAATGAGTGAAGCTGGCACACACACATATGTAAGTTTATCTTGGCACAGATTGTGTAATGTGTCAAAATGGACTGCCATCTGCAGCTTACTATCGTACGTATCCAAAGTGCAGGGTCGAATTCCGCACGGCATGTCTTTTAGGGTCTCCAGATGTAAATTCCACTCCCTTGCCTGCTAATTACAGAAATCTGGCTCTACGGAGACCTAAGTGCCCCTGCCGCTGCTCTCTGTGTTATCCCTGGCCGCTGTGGCAGGTGTGAACCGTGTTCCAGGTGGAGGAACAAGGGTCTGTGGTGAGATTCCCAGTGACTCAGTCCTGGCTCTGCTCCCACCTGACCCTGGGCGAGGCATGCAACCTCTGAGACCCTTCCACCACAAGTGGGAGTGTCGGTTCTACAGTGCAGGGTTATTGTGAGGGTTACGGTCAAAAGCACAGGTGAGCCAGTCGGCAAGCGGCTCAACACGAGCTCAAGGCCCTCGTCATGGCTGGTAAACCACAGACCACCCTGGCTCGTTTCTTTTCCCGAACGCCCTCAGCTCCAGAGTCCCTTCTGCGTAAGTGTGCACTTAGCCTTCCGGTCTGAGCCCTAAGACATATGAGTGGGTTTTCCTTCTTCATTTACTTTTACTTACCTGATGAAAAAATGCTTTTATCACATAGGTAGGTACCCCTAAGAGAGAGAGAGACAGAGAGAGAGAGAGAGAGAGAGAAAGGATTCCCCTAAACAGTTTAAGGCCGTTATAGGAAATACATACATTTCCTCAGGGTGTTTTGCTTTATCTAATGATCCAAATTCAATGGCCATAGGGTGTTTAAAATGCTCTTCAAAGATTAAAAATAATTCCTTAAGTCCAGCTGGTACACATATGAGGAGACTGGCATTTTCACTTACTGTTTTGTAGAGTGTTAACTGCCTTCTTTCTTGAAAATGATTTAGCAATATGAAACAAAAGTCCTTAAAAGAAGTAGAATTGACTTGGTAATTCCTCTCATAGGATTTTATTCAAAGGAAAGAATAAGTATGCAAAGATGTTTAAGCACACTAACTGCAGAGTCGCTGAGAGCAAAAAGGAGAAAAATCTAAATGTCCCAAAGTTATTGGTTAAATAACTATGCAGCAATTTAAAATGAGGACAGTGGGGTGTCTGAGTGGCTCAGTTGGTTAAACATCTGACTCTTAATTTTGGCTCAGGTCATGATCTCAGTCACAGTTTGTAGGTTCAAGCCCTGCATCGGGCTCTGCTCTGAAAACGCAGAGCCTGCTTGAGATCCCCTCTCTCTCTCTCTCTCTCTCTCTCTCTCTCTGCCCCCTCCCATGCGCGCTCTCTCACTCTCTCTCTCTCAAAATAAGTAAACTTAAAAAGTAAATTAAGGAAAGGATATGTATATTACAGCGTGTGGGGAAAAGGCAGTTCCACGTGTGCTGACCGTCCTGTGCGTAGGAACGAGTGGTGTTTGAATGACGGTGTGTATGTGTAGGTTTCAAACTGCCCCTGTGTTTGGACAAAGCTGATGTGCACTCTGATGTGAGCACTTAGACACTTGCATGGTAACCTCGAGAGCAGAGGGCTAACCCTGTTTGGTCCTGATGCATCAAGACAGGGTTTTGCTCTTGATGTAACTACCGAGAAGAGCTATACGCCTCCCTTGGCAACGAGGCCCCAACCACCACCTACTCCTCCCAGATCCTGCTGGATCTTCTAGTAAATTAAGTCCAGTCATTAGTGGAGGACTTCCTGTGTACCCATGACCAGACCTGACACTTCACATTCATTACCTGGTTGACGTGAGAGAGTACTGTTTCACCA